TGGAGTCTTGCATTGGACGACGTTTCGATCTCTATGCTAAACAGATGACATATTTTTTTAAAAAGCTTGAGCTCACATAAAATAGTTGTTAGTGAAACTAGCGATGAATTTTCAGTGGAAATCCATCTTCCTGGAGTCTTGTAGTGGACAACGTTTCGTCGCTAAGCTGAGACCTTCACCGACTCGATAAAGACTGAAACGTGACCTCCTCCTCCCCTCACCTCAAGACATCATCAGGTCGAACCAGTGAAGATTCAACGTTAGTTCTACCCACGCTGGCAAACCCACGTTACAACAAAACATGTTTTAATTTACGAGGCTTTTAATTAAGAGCTTAGAGTGGGTGAAAGTGCGAACAAATCATTAAGACGGTATGAAAGTATTTATAACATGCGTTTATCTTGATAACGTATATAATCATGCGCGTTGAATGAATTAATGAAGAAACGTTCATCGCTGTGTACAATTAATGAATCATTTTACACAGATGTAGACCATAATAACACTACAACATATGCATTGTGTTAAGTATGATTCCATGTAGAGGAATTACTTCTTAGCCTACACAAGTTAATAATAGGACGCACTGTCAAAAAAAAATAAAAATAGAGGGTTTGACCTGAGTTGGACAATAATAACGACCATCTAAGCAGTACTAACAAGCTTAGCAGGAACCAAAACAAACAAATGATACGAATATAAACGTGTTTTTTTCTCGCTATTTTCATTTCGTAATTGTTAATTGCCCCCTTTTGCTGGAAATCCGTCTTTTATTTTTTATTGCTCTGTATATTTCCCAATTAGTTTTTTTATTATCATAATTCCATAATTTCAGAGCGATCTAGCAACCATGAATTCTTGGTCGTAAGACATCACTGAAACATGTGTTTTCCAATATTTGCTCATCCTCTATTGGAGGAAATCTGAACTATAACAATAAACGAAAACCCATCTTTAAAGCTTTCTCCATTTGTTATCGTGTAACGAAATGTATGATTATTTTAGATAGCAAGTAGACACACGTATAAAATCTAAAGTAAAAATAGATTAGTAGTTTTCTGTTAATGACTCAAACAAACAGAGAAATATAAAGCTATTTGTTGGTTATTATTTATGAAAATTGTTTGTAATATACTTTTTACAAATTGATATCCTAAGCCAGATATGGTCCAGTGGTTAGCTAGTCGGGCTACAGATAAGAAGGTCCAAGGTGACTTAAAGTACTGATCAAGTTTAAAACACCAAATTAATGGTTTTTTTGTTTCTTTGCTTTAAGGACCTAGTGAACTCCTGAACAATGTGATTAATTCTAGTTTGTAAAATGTGTCTTGTCAAGAACTAAACAAAGAACACGATGATTAGAAATACGATGCTTGTTAGAAATCATTATGGTTGACGTACTAAACCTGTGGGGGCCCGGCATGGCCAGGTGGTTAGGGCGCTCGACTCGCAATCAGA